ATTTGGATTCTTTAAGAAGGAAGGAAAGTTGGACAAAAATCTGTCCATTTATAAGATCTGTCAGACAGCAGGTAGTCCAGCAGTAGCTCGACAGATCTTACCATTCACCTAGTGAGAGGGCACAGTGACACCTACACAGGCTACGAGGAGCTAATATAGCTAGCCAGGTAGGAACACACAAAATATTAAACACTTTCCAGCCAAAACTGAGCTCCAACTGGGCGAGGTTGTAGGTGATCTCTGCAGAAAGTCTTTCTGCTGTGTCTGTTGGAAAAAAGAAAAAACAATGATATGTAATTCTAAAATTGGACATTTTTATTATTACTATTAACTACTACTACTATTACTATACTACTACTATATTATAAAATATATGTATTTGAAAGAAGCAATGGCACTTTAATTGAATTAGCTTATTTTAATTTAGAATGGAAAATAAATGTCTACATGTTAAGAAGAAAATGTCCCTGAATCGTTATCGTAGCCTATGTATCTGGATACGTATCAAATCGACTTAGAAGGGAGGGATGCACACCCCTACAGAACATGGATCTAAACACTGCTGATGCAGGAACAATCAATTACACTTATAAAATCTGACAAAAGACTAAAATATTATTCCATCTGGAGCAAAAACTGGAGATCACAAAGCCTTCTTGATTTTAAGGGGTGTCAAAAAATAATCATTTTTAAATATACACAGTAGGCCTATATCATCTCATATGTGAAAAATGACTGAAATGATTCAGCAATGATCCAAAACGACAAATTGATTAATCAACTTATATTTTTAGCTCTAATTCTGTGTTTGTATGGAGGTTTTTCACACCTTGAAGGTTAAAGGAATAATTTTTACTGGTCAGAATGAGTTTCTGTCCTCCGTCTTTGTCTCTGTTCAGTGTTACTTTGAAACAAATTGCAGCCGCCTGATTTGCTTTCTGTTGTTCTGTGTGAAACCTCTGACATGTATAAATGATCATTTAGATGCACATGAATACAGAAACAGGGATGTGAAGTCATTACAGTGTGACTTTCTATCAGCTGCCAGTATTTCTGAATATGATGAATGTGCCTCTGTAGGAGGTGACTCCACACTAAGAACAAACTGCTCTATTTGTTCCTGTTAAATGAGATTTTCTTCTCTCTCAGCTGGAAGTTTGTTCTGTTTTTCATGTTTTACTGTAACACAGAGAGATGCTGTGATCTACTCAGTAAAAATAGAAACTGGTTCAATCTACGCATCTCCGTGGAAACCACATTACTATCTCAGCAGCAGCTTCACACCACAGCACATTTAAACACATCTTACACTCCAGGAAACAGTGCCTTTATGATGAGTTATAATGGATTTAGTTTGAACTCATTTTCCTGTGGATGGCAGTAGACATAAAAGATATTCTCTGATGTTCAACTCCAGCATATAACATATAATGTTTGGTTGTCCATCCCTGTTTTATAAAGTGAATCCTAACAGTCCTAGTCCTCTGATTGGATAATAAGGCACACAGGTTCCCAACCTTTTCCTTTAGGAACCCCTTTTCCATCAGTGAGTAAACTGATTACATTTTATGCATATTTCATATTATATTAAATGCATAACAAAAAATGTAGAGACCAGCGGTACAATGAACCCAAACAATGAACACAATAACTGCAGGACATTTGTGGAAAATAAGCGATCTGGTTTAAGTTTACTTCTTAAATAATAGTCCATGAAATTACAAAATGCTGAGTTATGTCTACAATATATATTTTAAATTTTTTTCTTACACCCCTTAAAATCAAGAAGGTCTTATAGGCCCCATGAAGTTTTGGCAACCCCTATAAGGGGTCCTGACCCCCAGGTTAAGAACCACTGATCTAGCACACTGGTTCCTAAACTGGGGGTCCCCACCCAGAGTTGTTTTTAGAGTGTATTTTATTATTGAAGATTGTTTATGTCTTCAACAATAAGGATAAGGGCACAGTCAAGAACTGAACAAAGGCTACATTCACAGAGCCTCCTCCTGCATTAGAAAAATTCAGCAACCAAAGAGCTAAGAACCAAGAATAAAACACAGATTTGTCAAAAAATGATTTGTTATGCATTTTAAGTATGCAGTTTGTCAGCTGTCCTCTACTGTTGTTGTTATTGTTGAATATAATATGAAATATCCATAAAATATGTCACTGAGTCAGTTTACTCCAAAGGGCTCCTTTAAGGAGAAAGGTTGGGAGCGACTGATAAACATTATGAAGATTGTTTATGAAGATTACTAAAACACGTATAACATATATCTTTATGCAGATGATACAATCTTGCATTTATTATATATAACTTGGGTCATGTCTTGATTACAGTCTGTCTTTGCAGAACCTTGAACTT